AACATCCGGGGCTGTAGCCCAAGTAGCCACACCCTAGATCCGCCAATGGAAAAGCTCCCTGTTATATAATGCTCAGGCTATATATTTAATATATTTATGTAACCCAAATTCAAATAAAGGTATTCCTCATTTTATTTAGATCACAATTTGAAACTACAATAGAAGTAAATTTTTTTACTGTAAAATGATGGAAGAAGCATGCTGGGACACGTGTTAGAAGCATCACATACGAAAGAGCAGGAAGCCACTGAATGTGTTGTAGTTCATGCTGTCATCATACACCATCCTGTTTGGTTCCAGCTGCACGTACACATTATCTCCCACTTTCAGAGGGATGACCACGGCGTTGCTGCCCATGTCGTTGCTATCAGTCCCACTGGTGTCCCACACAGACGTCAACCGCTCACTGTTCTTCATCAGGCTAACAACCGAGCTGGGAGTAGGAGCCAAGTTGTTGAACATTGAGAATCGAAAGAAGTACATTCCACTGACCATTGCTGTGAAAACACCTGCCGTAAGAAGGATTAGAAGAAATATAACGCAGGCCTTCAAATAATAGAGCTTCATTATCTCCCCCCTACCCTTTATATACACACCCGTTGAAGGATTATAGCAATTGCCAGTGTTGGAGAAAACCTTTTTATACTGCAGTGGGATAACAGTGGTAAAAGGCCCAGTGTTTCCGGAGCCAGAATCCCTGAGAGCTGCAGAAAAAGCCACCTGAGGAGCACCTAAAAACATCAAGCATACCACAAATACTTTGGAAAATTGGACCAGGAGGTAATATAAGTCATCATAAAGTTGATAAATCGATTACCTCCAATGAGGCTCCGTAACTCCAGGACTTCTTTTTCCGTGCTTTGCAGCCTGGTCTCCAGAAAAGTTATTTTTTCTTCCATGTTGGCAACTTTCTCCTTCAGCTCTCCAACAGTTTGAGTTACAGATGTGAGAGGGCAGATGTTACAGCAGCTGGCGAAGCCTGAGACCTGGCCGAGTTTTGCATCGTTTTCATCAGGTCCAAGATCAGAACAGCAGAGCTTGAATGCCAGTAAAAGAACAACAATCGTCTTCATGCTTGAAGCGTTTGGATTGTTTGCCTTTGTCCACAGACTTCTCCAACCTTTGCACCTACTTTTCTTCTTCTTCTTCTCTCTTATTAGAGCAGGTTGCAAGCAGGTCATAGGTGCATACTGCCACTTATTATACAATGGTA